CCCCCGTCCTCGGCGTCTTCCTCCGGCTCCCCCGCCCGCCACCTTCCTCCCGCTCCCCCGCCCGCCACCTTCCTCCCGCTCCCCCGCCCGCCGCCCTCCCGGCCCGGCTGCCGCAGGTCGTGGGAGGCCTTTCTGACGAGAAGGCGCCGGCCCGGTGTGCGTCCCCGGGGGTGGCGGGCCCGGCCCGACCGCGAGCTGCCGCGGCCCCGGGGGGGCGCCCGCGGGGGGCTCGGGAGCGGGTCCCCCCGCGGTGACACGTGGGCCGAGACCGTGCGGGGCTCGTGTCCAGGTGCACCGTCTTCCGGGCCCGGGCTCGGTGGCCCAGCGTCACCCTCCACTGAGGCTCGGGACCCAGGCGGGCGGGCGCTCCGGATTTCGGAAGAGAAAGAGGTCGTGTCTGGAAAGGAAGGCCGTTGCGTCCGTTCCATTTTGCCGCTGCGGCGTTTGGGAAGAGAGGAGAGACTAGGTGTAAGCTTAGCGGCGTTGTCAGTGCTCTTACTGCAGTTGCTGAAGTTCACGGGCATGGGAGCCGGGCTGCAGCGCCCGCGAGTTTCCGCGGGAGAGGTGTCCCTGGAGAACAGTCCAGGTGTGCACGTTTGTAGTTGGCTAGTGGCTGCTAGAGTTCTCGTTAGTGGCTGATGGTGTCTGGAAGGAGGTCTTAAAGGCCTCGCTCCCTGATCGGGCCTTATTTTGGTCAGTGTTCATTTTTTTCTCGTTAATATGATTTATGCAAAAAATAACGTAAAGTGCAGTGTCCCGCAGTTCTTAGTCACTTGGAAAAGGCTTAGGGTAGACAAAGAATGTGAACTTTACATTGGAATACGGCTGCGACCTCTTCTGGCCCCAGTCTTTCCCGTCTGACCAAATGGCATCACCGTTCACCTGCTTTTTCAGGCCCCAAACTGAAAAATAATTCTTTCCCTTACTCCCCAAGGCGCTTCATAATTTTGTAGCTTCGCCCTCAGAGGCGTGTTTTCAGTCGGCCCTACGCCCTCCCTCTCCAGTGTGACTGCGAGGCGGGCCTCTGTGGGAGCCTTCTGACCGGTCTCTGCTGGTCTCCATCACCTGTCAGCCTGAGGCATGTCTTTCAAATGTAAATAAGGTGGCCACACCCTGATTAAACTATCCAGAGGATCCTTCATCCCTTTAACTTACAGTCCCACTCCTTGCAGGACCCTGACTGATCTGGCCTTCGTCTGACTCTCCTTTCTCTTTCCTTGCCCTCAGTCCTTTGTTCCTGGACGAGGCCACGTTTGTTTCTGCCCCAGGGCCTTTGCTGCTCCCTATTCTGAGAAGCCACCCCTTGCTCATTCTGGGCTTCAGCTTCCTGAGAGAGGCCTCCTTCCTCAGACCTTTCTGAAAGTTGCTTTCCCTGCCTTACATCAGTCATTCTCTACCACAGTGGTTCTCAGAGTTGGTTCATGGACCCCTGGGAGTTCTGGAGACAGTTTCAGGCATCTGCAAGGTCAATATTCTTGTAGTGATGCTAAGTCCGTTGGGCTTTTTCACTTGGTTAACAATTGCACTAATCATACACAGGCCATTAGGGGTGAAACTGCTGACTCTTTAGCAGGAGCCTTGGTGGCGACACCCAACCCTGTGAGGCAGCGCTATATTCATGTATTTCACTCGAAACAACGTATTGCAACAGAGAGAAAGCAGAAGCAGATATGAGCATCCACCTGTCTTCTGTTAAAGGAGACCTTGAAAAGATGTACAAAAGTGAAAACTCCTCTTACTGTTTTTTTGGAGAGTATGTTTTACACAAAAATGTGTATTTATGTTAACATGTAATAGATTTATTTTTCAGTGAATAAGCGTTTTGAAAGTTGCTCAGTTTTAATTTCTAATAGGGCAGTTGTCAATAGGTATAACCTATAGAAAGTTAAGGTCTTTGGGGTCCTCAGTGATGTTTGGGGTTCTGAAACCAAAAGGTTTGGGGACTGTTGCTCTAACAGTTTACGGTTTTAATTACGATTTTAATGTTTCTCATAATCTGAAATTATTTTGCTTGTTTTTCTGTGTCACTCATTATGAATTTTATTCTAAGAAAAACATGGAAGGTAGGAGGTGGGGATTTTTACACAACACCTATATTTCCCCTATATTTTTATAGGGGAAATGAGGCTCAGAGAGGTTAAGTGATATGGAAGGTCTACCCAGCTAGTAAGTGTCAGAGTTGGATTTGAATCTGCCTTTGAGTCCAAAGGGTCCATTGCATTGCTCTGCCCTCATAACTGTAAAGCCCTACATGTGGGTTAATTCATTTACTCAGCAAGCATTTTGAAGCACTTCTTGTCGTAGGTGGGCACCGTGCTAGGGGCTGAGGGTGCAGAGTTTAAGAAGAGAGACGAGGTCTCTGCCTTGGGTCTCAGGACAGTGTGTGTCCTCTGACGGCAGGAACACTGTTCATGGCAGCAGATAACAGTCACTGGTGGTCTAGGCTTCCCAAGGAAAATGATGTCAAAACTGAAACCTCCAGAAATGAGGAGGAGGAGGTCTGCTCAAAAACATTTTTTTTTTTTTAGTGCAACTTAGCAAAGTGATTGTTATACATATACATGTATTCTTTTCCAGATTCTTTTCCATTATAGGTTATTATAAGGTATCGAGTGGAGTTCCCTATTCCCTACTGCTATACAGTAGGTCCTTGTTGTTTATCTGTTTTATGTATAGTAGGTGTGAATATGTTAATCTCAAACCTCTAGTTTCTCCCTCCCCCCCACCCCCAGTCCCCTTCGGTAACCATAAGTTTGTTTTCTATGTGAGTCTATTTCTGTTTTGTAAATGAGTTCATTTGTATCATTTTTTTTTTTTTAGATTCTACATATAAATGATATCATGTGATATTTGTCTTTCTCTAACTTACTTCACTTAGTATGATAATGTCTTGGTCCATCCACGTTGCTGCAGATGGCATTCTTTCATTTTTTTTTTGTGGCTGAGTAATATTCCATTGTATATATGTACCACATCTTCTTTAGCCATTCCTCTTTTGATGGACATTTAGGTTGCTTCCATATCCTGGCTATTGTGAATAGAACTGCTCTGAAAATTGGGGTGAATGTATCTTTTCGAATTAGAGTTTCTCCGGATACATGCCCGGATGTGGGATTGCAGGATCATATAGCAACTCTGTTTTTAATTTTCTAAGGAATGTCTGTACTGTTCTTCACAGTGGCTATATCAATTTACATTCCCACCAACAGTGTAGGAGGGTTCCCTTTTCTCCACACCCTCTCCAGCATTTGTTATTTGTAGACTTTTTGATGATGGACGTTCTGACTGGTGTGAGGTGATACCTCATTGTAGTTTCGATTTGCATTTCTCTAATCATTAGCGATATTGAGCATCTTTTCATGTGCCTGTTGGCTATCTCTATGTCTTCTTTGGAGAAATGTCTATTTAGGTCTTCTGACCATTTTTTGATTGCGTTGTGTGTTTTTTTGATATTAAGCTGTATGAGCTGTTTGTATATTTTGGAGATTAATCCCCTGTCAGTAGCATAAAAACGTGTCTTAAAGTAATAATTAGCTTTAGGACATAAGTAAAGAAGTAAGTCTCATCTGTTACATAAATTGATGGGGGAGTGTTTGTTGAGCACTTGCCTTTGTGCCTGGCACTGTCCTGGGAATATAAAGATGAGTGAGATAGGATTTTTTTTATCATTGTTATTTTAGTTTACTCTTAGTAAGCCGTAATGTGATCTGGATGGAAACTACATTTTGGGATCTTGTATGGCTTCTGTTTTTCCAATAGAATGGTGCAACCCTTTTCTGCCTAGCTTGAACCTTTAGTTGGCCTCCTGCTAAGTTTCTGTTTTCTGTTGAAGGGATATTTGTTAATACTTCATTTCCAGAGAGCTGAGGCAGGCAGACCTTGAGCCAAACGAATAAACAATTCCGTTCTTGCTCAGATTACCAATTCCGGCCATTTTAGATTTTCTCCGATGAGTTCAGTAACTCTGTACTCTTCCTTCAAGGGGTGGAGGTTGCTAGCATAGCTAACAGAAGTAGAGCTTGAACTTCTTATAGGGCAGTAGGGGACGTGCTCTGAGGCTTTAAGAGGACTCTGCTTCCCTGGCCAAACTAGGTGTCATTGGTGGGTAACAGTTAAGGGGAGAGAGATTCTGCTTAAAATAATTACTTTCTATCAATATCAGGTATTGAAGGATGAAAAGATTTCTTCAGAAAGGAGCAACCTGTACTCTCCGTAATCGAACTTTTTAGGTAGACAGAAACTTGGAGTATTTAGTATTTTGAAGAAAGTGTGATTAGATAAGACACAAAATCGAAAGATTTTATGATCCTGGAATCAAGTAGTGAGTTAACATGGGTTCAAAATCTTGGTCTTTGACACAAACCTAGCCTTGGAAAACCATAGTAGACCTAATTCTTCATTAGATAGAGTCAATTCAGCAGTTCTAAAATGCTTAATGTATATCAGCGTTTTTACATCGTCTCCATACGCAAAGACAGTGCTCAAGGAATTAGCAATATTTTTCAAACTTCTTTTTTGTGGTAGAACTCTCTCACGTGAAATATCGCAGCAAGACCTCCGGTGGTGGTGGTCACCCTTGGAGCGCATTATGGAGTCATGTGGGGGGCTTTTAAAGCTCTCTCGATGACTGGGCCTCATCCAGTGACATCTGAGCCTATGGTGGGACCCGGGCATCACGGCTTTTAAAGCTCACAGGAGATTCCACTGTGTGGTCCAGGCTGAGGCCACTCTGCTGGGAAGGAGGGAGGGAGGGAGCTGGGGCTCCGAGGTGCCTTCCTCTAGCATTTCTCTCAGCGAACGTGAAACCTGTTGCTTTTCTGGGTTAAAATGAAAAATGTATGTAATCTAATAAACTGCAGGAACAGACTGTGCTCTCTTAATACCTCAATTCTTTAACTGAATTCAAAACCTCAGTTGTCTGTAGGTCAGACACTAATGCAAACTAGCGAGGCAGTTAAAGGTAGTAGGTGATAGCAGTTAATATCTGGCTCTGGGGTTTCGGAGAATTGGAGTTCCTGTTTTTTCCACAGGGGCCGGCTCCTACTTTGCTCCATTTAATTATTGCCACAGCTAATGATTTTTTTTCAGGAGAAGCCAGAAATATGTTTTTTGAAATCCCTTTATTATTGTATTTAGGTGACTAATTTAATTGATTAGAACATCTATGTAGAAAAGTGTGTAGATTTTAAGTGAAAAGCTTCATGAATTTTCACATGTAACCAAAACATTAGCAGTACCTTAAAAGTTCCCCTTGTTCTCTCTATTACCTGCTGACACCCACTGTCCTCTTTTGATACCGTAGATTAGGTTTAGCTGTTTTTGAACTAAATTGAGTTCATAGTATGTACCCTTTTCTTTCTGGCTTCATTCATTCAATATTTGTTTTTATGAGATTATCCTCCTTATTATATAGCAGAAATTTGTTCGTTTTTCATAGGTATATAGTATTCTGTTGTATGAACATACTATCATTTATCCTTTGTACTATAGATATTTGGGTTGTTTCCAGTTTTGGGTTATTACAAATAAGTGCTGCTAGGAACCTTTATGCATTTCTGGGTCATGGTGGGCAGTGGTGAGTGATTG